CCAAAAGGGAAGTCATGTGTTATGTCTCCACCCTTGGTTGAGTTAATCATCACTGTTTCATATTATTAAGATCTCAACTGAAAGAAAAACAGCTTTTAGGGATGGTATATTTCTTTTTTTGACATTTCAAGAGCCTATCATAGTATTAAGTTAAAGTGGGGGAAAAGAGTAGAAATGGTGCGTGATTGCTCTATGAAGACACAGTGTTTCAGGAAGACAATCGAGTCTCTTTCCACCTAAAGGCCCAGTTAACTTGCAACCTGGTCTGCTTAGTTTCCCTGGCTTCTCCTGGCTTCTATTTTGAAATTTCTGATCACCATTCCCCATCCTCATTTTGACTAAAATTTTTAAGTGTCTCAAATTATATCAAGGTGTACCAGGATTCATTTTTCTCAAACTATTCCGCTCCCTGAAATTGCACCCACTCTAACAGAAAACCAGACTTAAGACTTCTGCAGTTGCCTATGTGTGACGGGCCGGGCAGAGGGAAAGTGCATTTGGGAAAGGCTGACACTTCCTGTACACCTGCACTCCATGGTCAGGGCACAGGTCACTTGGAAATCACTTGCAAAACCTTATGTTTATCTGAGTTCTGGGTGGATGGTTCATAGTGTCCAACATTTTCTCGCAGGGTTTAGAGTCACCACCCTGGAATACACAGGCCCAGGGCTCCCAACCTTAGCATTAACTCTCCTTTGTGTCTGGCCCTGGGATCACCTGGAGCACAAGGCAGGGGACACTGGAGCCACAGCCATGCCCCTGTCTTTCCTTCTGAAGGGAAATGGGCTCCTGTTCCCTCTACCACAAAGCACCTATGATTTGGGGGAGGGGTTTCTTTAAAATATCAAATACCTGAAAAATAACCTCCCCGTGAATTTTTTTTTAAAGAATGAATTTTGCAAAGCCTAAAGTCAGGACACTCACTAATGTCTTCACAAGGCAGATAAATATATAACCATCTCTGCCTGAAATTTAGTTGTAGAAAGTGGGGGAAAGAAAAGCACCCAAAGAAAGCCATGTAGCTACTTAGATACAGCCATGGTTCTTAACAGTGACACCCGTACACCTCTGTACCACCTTTCAAAAAGAGGTGTCCGACAAACCCACAATTCAGTCAGTCCCTGGTAGATGTTATATGAGTCCCTACATCACAGACTGGCAATAGAGTAGTGGCTAAAAGAAAAATTTGGGGCCCACTGCTTGAACATGACTTCAGGGCTTCCCCACTTACCTGGAGTGTGATTCGGGACAAAGTAAGTAATCTTCTCCAGTGGTTCTCAACCTTCCCAATGCCGGGACCCTTTAATACAGTTCCTCATGTTGTGGTGACCCCCAACCATAAAATTATTTTCGTTGCTACTTCATAACTGTAATTTTGCTACTGTTATGAATCGTAATGTAAATATCTGATATGCAGGATGTATTTTCATAGTTCTCGACCCACAGGTTGAGAACTGCTGTAAGCCTTGGTTTCCTCCTTACTAAAAGGGAGTAATAATGTTTTGCAGGTCCATGTAAGGACTAAATAGAATAAGACTTAGCATCATGCCTGGCACAGGTAGGTATTCAGTACATATTAGCTGCTATATCCATAGGACTCCAAAGGAAAATTAGATTGTATGTTGAAGATCAGGAATTCAGGAAGCTTCAAGTCATTTGTTTGATTGGCCAGGCCAAGCGGGTCTTCTGTTTTTATTTCCGGTGTTAGGTAATGTTCTAAAGCAGGGTTCTCAACCTTGGCTGCGCATTAGAATCCCATGGAGGAGAGGGGACTAACGCCAGGATAGATACTCACATTACAGCCCAGATTTAATTGATCAGAGTCTCTGAAGGAGGGAGCAAGCCATCAGAATGTTTTTAACACTCCTTGGCTAATTTCAGCCAGATAAAGTTCCCATTTGCTCTAAAATTCTGAACCCACTATGTGGTTATATTGATGGTAGGAAAGTAGCTCAAACAAACAGTATCCAGTCAGTGTCAAGATGAAGTTTTTCACGGGAGGATGCAAGGATACTATAAAAGATGAAACAAACAAACAAACAAACAAAACCCACTTATTTTCTCTGTGCAGCTTTGTAGACATCATAGTCTTAATAAAGCCTAGTAGAGAGACCTATCCTAAGGAATTAAAATTCTCTTGACTCATTTACATTAGCACTTGGTATTATTCTTATAGCAAATTTATTAGTAGTATGTGCAAAAATATGTATAAATTCTACCAGCCTCTGAAGCAAAATAGCACTGAAAGATGATAATTAATTGACTTCTATGCAATGTGTCAGCCTTTAATTAAAACATAGGATTGGCTGGAGGGGAAGGGGAATGGGGAATTATTGTTGAATGGGTAGTTTCAGTTTGGGAAGATGAAAAGAGTTGTAGAAATGGATGGTGGTGATGGTTGCTGTTCTGTTCTTTTATGTGATTGACAGTCAAGTGTGGCCACAAGAGAAGACAAGAGAACAAAGTTGATTGTACTCACAGGTCCTAGAAACAGGAAGGACTGAACAACACCAAGGACCACATGGGAAAGTATTAGTGCAAGTCAGGAGGCAGGGGCAGGAGCTGGAGGAGCCTGGGCGCGGCCTTCCTTGGAGTTCCCGAGGGAAAGGCGAGGCAGGGAGGGGTGGCCAGTGTAGGACTGGCTATTGGAATCATTTCAGCAGGCTCTAGGCTGCAGGACTGGCCTCTAGTTGCCTGGTACTGGGCCCTGGCAAGATTAAGGCAGAGAAATATTGCCTCTTGAGATATAAGGCCAGACAGAGGGGCTCTGGATTGGTTAGTTGCCTATCGAAGGATTGCTCCCAGGTGAGCCCTTGGCTATCTCTAAGAATTGACCATCCATGAAGGGGCAGTCTCTCCCCAGCCAGAAAGCTTTGTAGGATGTCAAAACATCATAATGTACAGAAAATGAAAAATATAATACCGTTGCACAACAATGTGAATGCACTTAATGACACTGAATTGTACACTCGAAAATGGTGAAAATGGTAAATTTTGTTACGTACCTTTTATAATGATAATAATAATAAACCGGGATCCACAAGATCAAAAATGGTGAACTCTAGACAAAAGACAAGAACCAAATTTTTTAAAAATGCAGAGGTCGGAGAAGACATCTTACATCAAGAACTTTAAGGGCTGCTAAAGTACTAGTATATCTCTTTTCCAAGAGTAAAACAAGAAATTGTCTTCTGCAAAATATTGGCCAGCTCCTGAAAAGCGAATTTTAAGCATTTTTAACAATTTGCATAGTGGATGAAATCGAAACAAATAGTACAGAATTGCTTCATAGTCTAAAACCATTTCTCACTTCTCATTGCTCTGTCATACTCCAAGGAGACCAGGAACTGAAAACCTGACTCATCTTCACGCATGAAGCCGTGACACTAGAATGCCAGGCCCTCCTCACACTGCCCATCTGCTAGCCAGTGCAGTGTTACCAAAGTCTTTGGCAAAACTAGCTTATAAACTCAGACTTTTCTGCTACCGAGTGCTCGTGTGTGTGTGTGTGTGTGTGTGTGTGTGTGTGTGTGCGCGCGCGCGCGCCCATGGGTATGGTGACTAATATATCTTAATCTACCAGACTTACATACAATGTTATCCTGAATTTCTAAACTCCAAAATCACTCCTTAAAGACACCGTATAAGTCCTGTATATTTCTCATCCAAAATAATTCAGCTGCCAAGAAAATTATTGCCTCATTGCATATCCCCACCTAACTTTCTCTTCTCTCTATAATCAGGGAATCCACCATCAGTCTTCTTTTTCCTTACTCATCTGCCAAGTCTTTTCTCCACTCCCTATGCCAAGATTCTCTGGCATAAACACCTGTGGCTGCCAAACCTTCCTGCTATTGTCCTAACATAAGCAACTCGAACAGGACCACTCTTCCCCCTCCCTGCAGTTTGCTTTGTATATCCATTCGTCAGATGCCTACAGCGTAAGCAGGAGAGAAGGAAATAAAACATTCCTTCCTCTGGTGAAGGAGAGTGGAAGAAAGAAGGAATAGCTTTCTAACTCGTGGGCTCCTGTTGGCAAGAAAGTCCCTGGAACATTATAAAGTGGTTTTAAATGACTGGGTGTGATTTACATCTGTTTTCCTCTTTTCTGTACGCTGTGTGGGAGTGTTTGATCTTTATCGTGCACGTACAGTTCCGTTCCTTTGAATCTGACCAAAAAGTTGTGTTGCTCCCTAAACATCTAAGACATCCAATGAGAGCTGCGTCCCAGCATGAAAACATTGGCCCACATGTAAAGATGGGTCAGCCTCTCAGTGTTTAAGACGTTGCTCTGAAGACCTTTGCTGTAACATCGGCGACCTGGATGGAGCACATGGTGAGCAAAGCACCGGTGCCAAGGGAGCTGGCACTTGTGTCTTGACTCCACCACCAAACAGCCCTGGGTACTTGGGCGAGTCGCCGAACTTCTCTGCACCTCGGGGTCCTCATTGGTGAAATGGAGAGAATAACTAACACTGTGGGGCACTTAGTAAGTGAGCACTGTTTTACACAGCTTATACAGATTACTTCCTATCCTCTTCCCAGCTAAGCAGTGGGTATTGTTGCTATTACCACCTATTCTATACAGATGTCACTGAGGCACAAAGAGGTTAGAATTTTACTTCTGGTCCCAAAGCTATATATGGAGCCCGGGTTCAAACCAGGCAGCCCAGTGGCCAGAATCCATGCTCTGTTGTGTTTCCTCCTGCACTGAATTGTGATCATCAAATCAGATTATCTGGAAGTGAATGTAACATGTTGATATTAACTTTCCTGAAGTTCATTTCCTCATCCACCAAAAGGAGACAATACTTCTGTTTCAGGGTTTTTGAAAGGCATAAACCTACGGAAGAAGAGTGAGAATTTGCTATCCACCTTTCACCACCACCACCACACACACAACAGGTTTTGTTTTAAGTCTGAAGAAATTGCATATGGTCTAAACCTGTCTACTGCGATCATGTAAAACTAACATCATTTTCCCCTTTTGCTTCTTACAGATTTTTGCATATATGAATGAAACCTCTTCCCGAAAAGAAAAGTGGGACCTCCAAGCACTTAGATTTTTATCAGCCAATCCGATCATCAACCCTTGGGTCTTTGCCATCCTGAGGCCCCCTGTTCTGAGACTAATGCGTTCGGTCCTCTGTTGTCGGGCTTCATTAAGAACACAAGATGCAACAGAAACTTCCTGTTCTACACGGTCAAATGCCAGTAAACACACTGACCTTTGTGGACAATAGCTAAGAAGTGCTTAGTTAGCCAGCATCTGGAAGATCATTCTGAAATGGTTCCTTGGAGAAATGAGAAAAGTAGTTTGTAAACAAAATGAAGCTACCCTAATAAGACAGAGGAAATCAACATTTCAGCAGTGGTTTAGGCTGCAGAGGAGCTGACAAGCACTTCCTGGAAGGTGTCAGGAGGAGCTATGGAAATCCACCCTCCGTGAGCACGTTAGTTACAATGGCCTTTAGAGGAACAACCAACTGCATTAAAGATTGGTTGCCTTTTGATTGAAGCTTTCCTGTTGAATGAGAAAGCATGTGGTTTGTAATCTGTTTAAAGCCTGAGTTACTGTGTGTTTTCCATTTTACTCTTCTGTGTTACTACTGTTATAAACATACAGTGCACAGTCAGACCAGGTAAAACTTCATATGTGTTTTCTAGGAAGTGGATATGTGGGAGCAACCAAGCCTCGTGTTCTGTCATTGCTTAACAAACCCTTTCTTTGGACAATGTGTTTGCGCATCATAGGCACTTTGTAGTATAATGTGTGTGTGTGTTGGGGGGGCGTGCGGGGGGAGCGCTCTCTCCTCACTGCGGTATTACTAGTAGAAGAGTAGACTCAGTTGGTTAATGTCAGTTTTTTCACTGGTCCTCCGGAAGCTGTGTGTCAAAGTATCAGATTATTTATTTTATAATGTCCAATAGTAATTAAGAAAGCGTTAAAAATTTTCCAAGAAATAATAGACTAGTAAGAGAGTTGATTCTGATTAATACTCTTCATTCTATTTCCAGGGGAGAGTATATGTCGCTATGTCTGAAGCCACGTATTTAGGGTTAAAAACTGAAAAATCTAGTCAATTCTTCAGATACACTGGAACCCTTTTAATGCTGGTGTTGAGGCCATGACTAACATCTACTTTATAAGATGATTGTGTTGTAGCAAAATTCATCTGCCCATATTTTTATCCAGGAAACATGGTTAACTAATACTACATAGGAAATCCTGTGTCAGTGAGTCATATCTTTATATATTTCTACATCTAAATGTTTGGCCTGGTGTAAACTCAGCATCAAACTATTTCAGTGAATTTGCACTGTTTAATCATATCTTAGTTACTGTGTAAACTCATCTGAAATGTTACAAAAATAAACGATAAAACAAAAACTTAAAAATGAAATAGTATTTGCTAAATCCTCCCAAATAACATTTAATAGCTAGAATAGATATAATATTTTTTCAATGAGATAAAAATAGAAAAAAATTTAACTTGGCAGGTTTTTAAAGTATGGTTGCATTGTAAATTAGAGTTTAAAATATTCAATATAGTACTTGGTACTAGAGGATTTTTTTTCCTTCCACCATGATCTTCCAAGTACTAGAACCATCTTTTTTTTTTTTTCTAGTGAGTGTTATTACAAGATAGCTGTTATAAAAAAAACAAAAAGGGATGTTAGTTTTTTCCAAAATCTCATTGAGTTGCTTACGTAAAAACATTTCCTATAAGTAGTTATCAAACTAGATGATCACTTGGGAGTTTTTTTCAAACCATTCTAGGCACCAGTGTATTTGACACAATCTATGTCAAATCAGCTCTTATTTTAAAAAGAATAAATAAATGATTTGCTTTTCTACTAATTTAAACAACCCAGGCAAAATTTAACTTAACTAAAATCTGCACATGTAAATAAATCTTCCCTGTCTACCAAGTAGAACTAATTAAGCTCCTGGGTAATTCCTAAACATAAAATTCTGAGGTTACTTTGAATCTGGAAGATTGAATTCTTTCATTAGATGGGCTTTTTTCCCTCCAAATGAAAATGTTAACTACATTCCTTCACCCCACCTCCCCCCCCCAAAAAAAATCTGGAATAATGCCTGATAACTTTTTTTTAAAAGCAAACTTGGACATAATATCACTAGGGGTGATATTAATAATTAATAAAATAATTCACTCTGGCAGCCAAAAAAAAAAAAAACAACAGTTTAAGCTATTTATTTAAGAACTGGTAGATCTCTAGAGCTTTATTTCCTAGTTTACTCCTGTTTCTTGCACTGTGTTAAATGACTATTTCGTTTGCACTGATATATACATAGAAGGAATTGAAGATAAAAATCCTATGTAATAGTCATTCACCTACTATGAATGGTAATTTAAAGGCAACAGAAAAGTTTACTAGGATTAGATATATGTGGATATTTCTTTTTTAAAAAATCCCACCTCATCAGACATACTTGTTTAGGTTTACTGAGTCATTTTCAAGTTAAATGAAAAACACTGAATTTAGCCTGGTATAGTAAAGAACCAAATTGTGATGAAAGAAGACCTAGATTTTAGTCTTTGCCCTCGACAGGCAGTGGAATGAAAAGGGAGAAAGAAAGTATAGTGGATATTCACCTCAAAATGCCAGCCCCAACTTTAGGTGTCCAGAAGCGGGCCAAAGCAGTCTGTTCTGAGCTGAATTATTGCTGGACAGTTCACTGTGCCCCCAGGTCATCTTTCCTAGGAAAGAACGGGGAAATTCTCATCCTAAATTGTGGCCTCGAATCTCCAAAGATACTGTAGGGACCCGAGTTTGCTTAGAAGCTATAGAAAGCCTCTCCAGAAGACCTGAACCTCAGAGAGTTTGAACCCAGAATCAGACCTAGAACCAGACCAAAGCTCTAGAAACAGCACCCACCCCAAATCGCCATGCTGGCTGAGGCAGCAAGCCCTGAGCAGCAGGGAGGGCAAAGCCGAGCCACATCATTACATTCTCAGTGTAATTCAGTTAAACTGGTAGCGCCCCTGCCTGCTCCTGTCAATGCACATTGAGAGGAAGATTGTCCTCATGTTAACATAATGTCATTTCTGATTTGAACCAAGAAAAAAAACACTGTACTCAGGTTTAGAATTTGATGACTTAGAAAGTCAGGCTAAGACAATTAGCTAGCACTTGAGCAGAGGTTTATTTATTTCACTTCTCCAAATGTAGTGGTTTAAGCCAATCAAATGGTTTTCTGAATCTGAGAAGAATCCCTACTTGAGCTGTTCACAGAGAGAGAAGCAGTCTTGTCTGCAAATGAGTGATTTCTATATATGGACTTACAAAGCCCTCTTATACAGGTGGTGTTGCAACTTGAATATTTGATGTCTATTTTCTGTCTTCATCAAACACTTAACTCCATTGGATTTCCTCTCCAAGGGCACATTTATAACATACCTCCAATCACTAACAGCATTATAATTGATTGCTTTTAAATTTACAAAGTATTTGATTGCCTGAGTGAAATACACTATGGAAGTAAATGTTGTTTTAGCAATTCCCCAACGCTATAGTCTAACTTATACAGGGGGCCAAGGCCATGCATTGGGCATTAATTTTTTATTTCAGAAAGTTACTCGTTTTGTGCTGGTAGATTGTGTGATTTTTTTTTTATTGTAAGTAAATTTCCTTGAATTATATTTTTTTATTTACTGTACAATGTCTGTACTATTAAAGGTCCGTTTGAGTGGTTTAATTCTGCGATATTCGTGTTTCATTTGTTAAAATCTGCCAAGAGTCAAATACATCAGTGAGGATTCCAACAGACGGAGATTACACACTCAAAAGGGTGACTTGGGACGGTTGGATGAAAGGAATATTTGCAGAGAAGGAGAGGGAAGGATCCCTTGCAGCTGTTATCACTCATAAGCCAGAGGCACAAGGGAGGAGCAGTTTCTGGAAACCAGTGAGAGCTGTAGGAGGTTCCATCCAGCAGGCGCTATGGCCTTCAGCAGGGAAGCACAGTTGCTGCCACCACAGGGCGAAAATGAAGGGACTACCTTCCTGGACGATCTCTCCTCCTACTCTCTGTTAGTCTGCTTGTCCCTCCCATTGGCCAAACCCAACCTTAATCCAGACAGTACAAGGAACCTGGGTAATGAAGCCTGGAGTATGAGTGGAGAGTAGACTTAGAGGGACAAATGGAGAATATCCAGCATAAGTAGATTTAAAATACATGTCGTTTTTTTTGTTCTGTTTTTTTGTTGTTGTGGTTTTTTGTTTTTTTAGTTATACCAACACAAAAAGTGAAACCACAAAGTGGGCAGCCTTTCTTCCTGACATTTACTCCAAATAGATACCCACACCCGGGGAATAGGAATCAGCCCCATCTGTATGGGAAGGAGTAAAATACTGTAGATTTCTTTACCACAATATTTGTCATTGGCTAGGTGCTCTCTGAGGCTGAGCATTTATATCTCTCCTACTCTGGAGGCAGTTAATATGATCAGGGCAGAGAACGGGGACCAGACCAAAGCATCTTCCAGTTTACTCTGCCCACAGCCCTATAGCTTATAGCTATTTCTAAGGAGAACAAAGGGAGACAGCCATGTATACTGTTCTGGAAATGTACCACTGGAGTGAGAAAAATCGAGAAAAAGCTCACTACGATGCTGAGGGCATGCCATATCCCCAAGTTTAACATAAGCTGGGATAGGTCTGTACAGCTGTTATCAAGAAAGAGTATATGTAACAACTCAACAATTCTGCATAGTTTAAAATGCTGATAAAAATGTCATGAAAAAGCAAATTTTAACTAACTGGAAAGAGATTGGACAAAGTATGATGCCTTAGGCCATCTGTTCATGTTGTCTTTTCTGTACCACAGAATTTGTCTTTACTTTGTCTTTACTCTCTCCCCTCAGCTCCTAGAAAGTTCTTTTCCTAGCACACACTGTCTCCTGTCCCCTCCATCACTAGATCCTGTCCTCCTTCATGCACATACTCAACCTTTCCCCTTTTGGCAAATTCTAGATTTACCAAGAGATATTAAAGATTTGTCAGACTGTTGGGCATTTCTCAGACAAGTTATTTAACCTCTCTCACTCTATAAAATAATAATAATAATGAAATTATCTATCTCCTCAATTATTTTGAAGATTAAACAAGTAACTGCATGTAGGACATTCAGCATAGTGCCTGGATGTGGTAATGAAATCAGGAATTACTATTATCTTAGATGCCCAGTTCAGTGGCCTCTCTGATTTCCTCACACACATCTGACTCAAATTGCTCCCTGTTGGTGTGGGTTGAGGTGCTAGGGGTCATGGGGTCTATTTGTTAATTCTGGGTAACTGTCAAGAATGATCATGATAATAAGCACACAGGACAAGTTTGTGTTTCCGAAAATGTAGTGGAGACTGGCACACATGGGACAATGTAGAGGAATGTGTAAGCATGAAAGAGGAGACCAGGAGAGACAGAAGGACAACAGGACACAGAACGTGGTTCATGTCCCCTCAATGGAGGCATGGAAGAGAACGGAATGTGTTTCAAACAGGATATGTCTGTGTCAGGAAACACAACTCTATCACAAAGCTAAAATCTTCTGAAGATCCCCAGAGTAAGTCCAAGCCATGTGTCACAGGTGATCTTTCATGTTCCTGAATCCAGCATCCAAGACTTCCTTCCCTTCTCCAGGCAAAACATTCCTCATTTCCTCAACTGTCCCTTATGTGATACCTCACCACTTGGGTCCCTTCCTTCAGATCCTATCCAAGCTATAAGTGCCCATCTTAAGCTGCTGGGCCAGAACCAAACATCAATAAATAATTCTAGACCAGTCTTGTCAGTACTGAATGCTGCTCGTCAGTTGCTGGCTTGATCTGTACCTTGTACTTCCATTAATGCAACCTGAGATTACAAAGCTTTATTAGCAACTAGGTTGTGCTTTATAGTCTTCAACAAATGAAAGAAGCAATAATATACATTGCATGTTACTAGAGGTAAGCTGGGTGTGCAGCAGTGAGGGAGTTGCCCACTAAGGACATCCTCATAAGATATCCTTATGACTATGGTGCTGATCTTGCCTCCTGAGACCACAGAGCATCTTGGGTTCTCATTAGTCACTTGCCTATAACTTTTCAGATTGGCCTCCATAGACTAGGGATGGGGAGCTTTGAGTTTAGCCACTGAACCTGGCCTTTTGTGTTAATAACTGGCCCCTGAAATAATGTGGAACTGGATCAGTGCCAGAGTCCAAAGAACAATGTTTCCCTTGAAAATGGAACTCACTACTTTTAGTTATCCAATGAGATTTTTGCTAGAATTAACTGGCCAATACTCATCTCACCCCTAAGAGTGTGTCTGATATATCCTGATAAACATTTAAAAATTGCTGCACAATTCAACCATTGAGGAGAGTTGAGACTATCTTTCAGCTCTTAGAGACCTTCTCAACATGCCCACACTGGGAATAGCTCAGAGAAACAAGCCAGAAAGCCCTAGACGTTTGAAAACTCAACATTAAATTTTTATGTTTTTAAAAATAAGTGTCCTCATATGACTTGTAAAATGGAAGACATGATAACCAAAACACAGCGAGCGGCATGCTGTGGTGTACCACTATTTGACCTGTAAAAATAAATCTTCCTGCTGTGAGTAGGCGTTCGGATAAAAGAAGAGCACGCTTTACCATAAACGAGAGATCTCTAGTCTCTTTACTACCTATTATGGTGATCGGAGAAACACTAGCGCAGATGGTCACATCTTTCCATGAAATGCCAGTTTGGAAAACTAAGGAAGATGGAGAGTCCGCTTCCTGTCTTTCTTCTACAAATAGCTTCTGTGTTCTCAATTAGGTTACAGTGAACCTCAACAGTTGCAAAGAAATGCTAAGTAAGGAAACACAATTATCCTGTGTTACCAGAATTCAAGGCTCTTTTAAAATAAGGTCTTGCCTTTTGTTTAGCTACTGGAGCATGTTAAAAATACTACTGTTTTCGATCCTTTGTAATAGGAATTTTGGGCTAAGAGAAATATCACATGGGGGAGGGGGGCTGATAACTATTTTTAAACCAATGCTCTGAGAGGTGAAGAAAGCTGAAACTGGAGTTGGAATGCAGACATCTAATCAGGGAGAACTTTTCTCACATGCTCTGTTTCTGTTCCCTGGGCCTTCTCTCCCATCTCTCTCCTCCGCTCCTTGACTCCAGCCACCAAACCCAATGGTCTGGACCTGAAGCATACCAGCAAGCTTCCATCTCAGGGTCATTGCCCTGGCTCTGTCTCTACCTGAGATAATCACTCTTCCCCCAGACAGCCATGGTTCACTTCTTCATTTTCTCACCTCCTTCAGAAGTTTGCTCCAGGGATGCTTTCTCAGTGAGGCCTTCACCGACCACCTTTCCTAATGGTGCACCCCTGTCCCCCATTCTCTTTACCCTACTCTATCATTTTCCAACATGAATGACCTTGAACATACCTAAAGGTTGATGTAGTTATAACATGGTCTGTCTCCTCACACTAGAATGTGAGTTCTAGGAGGCACAGATTGTTGTCTAATGTCATGGTAGCTTACAGTTGCCAGATGTCCCATACACTTAGAATTATATCTTATACCTTTCAGGGTCTTCTTTTGTTTTTTTCCTTACTCAATATATTATTCTTAGGATATTGTTTTAAATGACCCCATACTATATTTTGAGTATCTTATATATAAATCTCATGTAATGCTCCCAATAACACTGTAAGGTCAATGTTGTCCCCATTTTAGAGATGACAAAATAAATGTTCAAAGTTAAGCAACTAGTTCAAGATCACACAGCTTTTAAAGGAAAGTTAAAAAAATTAAACCATTTTCTGATTTCAAGCCCAGGAGTCATTCTACTAATCCCACAAAATGGACATCTATAATGGCCCTCTATCTCTGACTACAGTCCACTGGAATAAAGACTCCATGGGCATGTACCTTGCCTATCTTTATCGCCACCATACTTATAGTATCTAGGATAATATCTGGTATATAGTAGGTGTTTCTAAATATTTGTTGAATGAATGAATAAATGAACAAATTGAAAGGCTAATGCCGAGGATATGATCTTTGTTCATCTCAGAAAGACTTTAACGAGTTCATCTTCTTGCTTCTCTTCCTCTTCCCCTCCTTTCAATACAACTCAATCCTAAACCATTTGGTGGAGCTGAGGAAGGTAGGTTTCTGAAGGTACATGGTGTGAGAGCTTGAGCAGGAGGAGGGAGCCATGCAGGGGAGTCTGGTGTGGGCCCAAGCAGGGTGAAAATGTATCTACACAGGGGATGGTGCTTTGTGGCATGTGGAATCCTAGTGGACTGAGGAGGGTGTCGTCCCGCCCCCCCCACACACACACACCAAAAGGCAGGCTGGAGTGGGACATTAGAGTCCAAAGAATGTAAGGAATTTATCCACACAGGGGGAGTGACCCAGTGTGGGGAGTCAGAACCCAAATGGTGAGGGCAACATAGCATCAGGGTTTAGGAGCCTAAACAGAATGAGGAGTAAGAGGGTGTCCAATGAGAAAGGCAGCCTTGCATGGTTCTCAGAGCCCATAAAGAAGGAAGCTATCCACACAGTAGGTGAACTGTGTACAGTCAGAACCTGATTCAGAAGGTAGGACATCCTTGCAAGGGGATGGCTCAGTGACGGTTTAGGAGCCTGAGCAGGATAAGAAGGGTGTGTACTTGTAGGGCATCCTGACATGGGCTGTCAGAGCAGAGAGGATG